AACCACCAACCCTTTGATGTGGAGTGGGAGAGGTTCTTGTGGAAAGTGACAGCTCAGATGGGTCAGCCAGAGCAGAGGCACCATTTGCACATTATAAGCAAATACCTTCAGCTGAGCTGTAACCAATGGAAAAAAAGAAGAGACTAAGATGGAGATTAAAGTAAGGGAAAATGAAATGGGGACTGCAATTCTCCTGCTCTTGTAAAAGCAGGGGGAAAACCACCACATTTTAGATGGCTCTCACCATGCCTTCTTTTACACCAGAATGCAGAAAAAAGTTAATTTTTCCAGGTTTGGGTCTCTGTTCCTAGCTCCAGCCAGCTCATGCTGCTTCCTCCATGTGTTCAGAACCTCAGCTTGAGGATCATATTCATCCCATCCAACCTAGGAAGCCAAGGCACCTTTGGGCTACCCATCCCCTGAGAACAAATTCAAACCCCTTCACCAGTTACAAATGAGTTGCCATGAACCCAGGCCCACAGAATCTTCTGCAGCAACCACAGTGTGAGTGTCAGACAGTCTCAGAAGCAAGTCTACCCACTGGACAGCAGTATGATACCTCCCTTTCTGGTATAAGAACAAAGTTATGGTCCCTTTCCAAATGGGAGGACAAAACTACATTCCAATCACATGAAACTATGGTAGGAATGATCTCCTTATCTCATGTCTATATCAACTTTTTTATTCCTGTTAAGAAACAAGGGAACTTTTGGGTCTTCCCAGATGTGATAAGTGAGGTGAGGGGAACGTATTCTGTCACAGATCCCACTCATACTGCTCAAGTCCTGAAGGGAACTATTCCAATTTTTACCTGTTAAAGCTTTGTGACAAACCATGCCTACACGAATGCTACAAACCCAGCACATTTTCTATTCAATAGCTATTTTGCACTTTCAAAAGATCAGTCAGTCTGGCAACCCTCACTGATTTTGGAAAAATCATATGTAGATGTTTCTGTGGGTTTTGTTCATCATACAGTTAGCAGAGTACTTAGGACAGAAATCATCCCTGACATTAAAAAAAAAAAAAAAGAAAAAAAAAACCAAAGCAAACCAACAAAACAAAACAAAACAAAACAAAACAAAAAAAAACCTCCCATAAAACTCAAAACAACAACCCAACCCAAAAACTAAACTGTGAACAGGAAGAGCTGCATCTGTTCAGTGTTGACTGTAATCCACCCTTTTCTTGTACCATTGAGCTTGCAAAGTCAGCCACCCAAAGTACTGGACATCTAGCAGTCCTTGGAGGGACAGGAACATGACAAGACACATTAGAGAAATGACTAAAACCACAGAGGTGGGACTTCCAATATCTGTTTCCTCAAAACTGAGTGAAGCTATAAATAAGGGAGCCACCACCCTTTCCTCTCCAGTGGATGCCTGCTCACATTTGAAGCTCTTCACAGTCAGGCGTGACAAATGCAGTTTATCACATGGGTCTGAGATTTATCCTATGTCTCTGCAAATTATTGCATCACGTGGATAACCCCACAACACACACAAACACATCAATTACACCACTACAGAGCAGTGTGAAACTTGATGGTTTCTATTTCTTAAAACCCACACACCAGCTGAGGCTCAAGCCCGCCTTCCCCATGTCATGACAAGTGTAGAAGCAGTGAACATGGTATCACTTCCATTTGCCCTGCAACCAGCCAGCAAGATGATGTACAGAGTAAATAGCACATATAAGAGAGAGGAACTCTTTAGTTAGAAAGACATGCTCTTTGGACTGAGGAGGGCTCAATTTGCAATATGTGTTTGCAGACAGTAAGTATCCAGATGAAAGTTAGTTAGAAAAGCACATCCAAATAGCATATAGTTAAATTCCTGTTCAGAGCATCCCAGAGAGCATGGGAACTCAGTTGCAGAACTTTTCCAAGCATAGATTCTTGCATATGCACAAAGTGCAGAGACATCACATATGGTCTGTTTCTCCTGGCACCCCCAGTCCCTAAAAGCAATCTGTTCTAGATGTTCCCAGCCAAGTCTGACCATGCCTCCCCCACTCCTAACTTCACACCCCATTTCCCAGTCATATCCTCCAATTCTCCTTTGATCTGGGCTTGCAGAGGCTTAGTGCTTATCTAATGTCACTGGGAACACTCACCTTTAATGCCAAGGGCTGCTGCTCACAGACAGTAGTAATGCCTGAAAATGGCAATAAGTAGTAATGTCTGGGGCATGGCAAAACAAGCAGAGTTACAGCAGCTGCAAGCTGCTTGTTTGGGAAGAACTTCAGCAAAGGCATGGCACTGCGTGGGAAAGCTTCACCCTCTCATTGCCCATGGAAATGCTAATTCAGATTCTCACCTCTTAAATTCTCATGGCTTTGACCTGACCACCTCCAATTAACAAGCTGCAGGCATTCAGAAAAGCCTGTGAAATGAGTGATGCCTAAGTCAAGAGACACCATGAAGTATGGCATGGAGATCTTAGGCAATTCAACCTTACTGTGTCAAACCTGCAGAATGCTTAAGACTTTTGATCTCATGTTGAGACTTCTCATGTCATGGGTTTTCTATTGCAACCTGCCTTGTAGAAACCACACACCACAAAGGAAGAAATTGCTGCAGACACACAGCAAGACCAGCCTCTTCTCTGGATGAGCGGATAGAGCTGGTTTTCCATCACCACACAAAGACCTATTGGGCTAACCTTTCATCCACAGAAACAGCTACAGAAAATGTGAACAATCCTATCAACTTGAAATTTTGTCCTTCCTTAAGCTACTGGTAGGAGGTCTCTCACTTCTACACTTTTTCTGTATACATATGAAAGGTGGAAGTACCTCAATGAGTTACCAATCTGCTCAATAGAAGCTGAACTCTCCCCTGGCCTCACCGTACCTTGGTGTGAGAGGGTACTCTCTTCTTTAAACCATCACCTTGCTGATGTGCAGCATTGCTCCCAAACAGGCGCATCTATCTGCACTCCTGTTCACTTGACACGTGCTGTTACCCCCCTCATACCCTTGGCAGGTCTAGCAGCAGGGATGAAGCCAGTGGTTGGCAGGGTACCAGTGCTCCTCCAGGGCCACGGTCACAGCCTGTGTGGCCTGTCTGGTTACTCTTCTTCTCTCTGCTGGCTGGGCACCAACAGTTCCAGATGGAGAGCTAGGAAGCAATGCTCCTGTGGGGAAGCTGATGCTGATGCTGCAGAACACCTCCACCTCCCTGTGAAGCCTCTGATATTGGCCATTGCCTGTCACGGCCTCCCAGGTTAGAGAGCAGTTTGTACAAAACTAGTTTGCTCTCTCAGGACGAATAATGCTTTGCCAGTCATGGCTCACTTCATAGCCAGCCCCTTAAAGGGCTCCACTGTTTTTGCCCCACGTGTCTTTTTGCTGCAGGTGTTCTGTCTGCTGGGTGCCACTAAGCAGTTCTGTGATTGCAGGCAGCTGGTCCCTGACAGGTGGGCAGTCACTTGTGAACAGGTCTGGGGCAGAGGATACCTCACCACAGCTGAACTGTGGTCAACAGAGTTTGCTTTGAGATCCTGCACTCTAGTATTTTGTATGGAGCTGAGCATCCCTCACTCCAATAAACTCTGCCAGGAGAACAGAGCAGGGGAAATGGATGGTGCAGCTCAATGCCAGCTTCTACTGCAGAGAAAGCAAATAAACTTTCCTTTCCAAATAAACTCCTTTCCTGAATATTGTATTCATATATATCAACAAGAAGCACATTCTAATTCACAGGTATTAAACACAGTTAGGCTTATTTTATCCTTGTGGAAAAAAGACTGTCTTTACTTTCCATCAGTGGAAAAATTCCCACGGGATTGTCTTTGCCCACCATATGTGTCATCTTTGCTGTTGTTTTATCCATAGCTCTTTTCTAAGCAGGTTGCTATAGTCTAAAATTAGACCAGACACATATCGATAACACCAGACAGCAGGAATAATCTGAAAACCAGTAAGAACTTTTAATCTGTATAGATTTCAAAGAGAACCAGCTTTGTTTTTCAAATAAAGGCAATCCAATGTCATCCTCATTAAAGTTGGAAAGGCCTTTGCCAGGTATTTTGTTAGTATCTGCTTATCTTTTGCTGGGCCTTGCAAAGGCAGGGTAGTAGCAGACCACCAACTCTATCGCAGTATGGATCGTATTTTAACACGGATGCTTCCTGACAAACTTCTTCCCCTTTCACCCACATCTCAAGCACACCCCAATTCAATCTTTCCTGTAGCATCTATGAGACAACTCCACCAGCCAATTCTCAGCAAATGTAAAGGATCTATTTTTAGAAGTCTTTAAGATGGCAAGAAATGCTGACCTCAGAAAACTGTGAATACCAAGCTCCTTATTTCTTCTTCCCTGCCTGCTCTCTCTGGGGAAGCAAACCACCACTATCTGGCCAAATCACTCCAGGGTCGCCACCAGACCAGAGCTGCATTTTGAACATCTCTACTCCTTGATATATTCCCAAAAGTCTTGTCCATGCCAGCCTCACAGGTCCGATTTGAATTCCCCCATGCTGTCAGCCTCAGCTCCTTCTCTCCATGCAGCACGGGGAGGGGATGCCGTGACTCACCCAGCCCCGGGATCCCCCCTGCCAACCCACTGTTTGTTTGAGCGATTTTATTGTTGAAGCCCTGTTGCCACATTTGTAACTATACATATTTTTTTTTTTATGACAACCAGAAGTTGAGTTTTATAAACAGATGCTGTTGTGGGCCTCTCTTACTCAGCTGGATCAGCGTCAGCCGTTTTTCCAGGCTGCGGTCTCTGCGCTGCACACTGAGTCACAGGCAGCCCTGCACAGATTTCTTTGAATCGCTGGTTTCCTCCCAGAGACTCTTGACACCCTGCCAACAAAACAGGGCGTAGCTCATTAATTTTATTTTTTTTTTTCCTTCTCTTTAAAGGCAGTCTGATTCATAGTAACTCCTTTAAAACAGAGTGGAAAGACACCACCCTCCCACACCACCGGAGGAAACTTAAACCACCACCAGGTCACTCCCCTTCACTCCAGCTCTGCGCTCCGGGACACCGGCACTGCAGCCCAGCACGCTCCTTCTTCCACAGGTGCCAGCACCCGCCCCAGCCCACACGGTAAGAGCTGTTCCTGAAAATCCTCACCAACTATGCTCCCTCAGTGGCTGCTTCCCTCTCCTAACAGCTCTCCTAACCAGATTGCCTTTCTTCTCTGCCCCTTCACTTCTCTTCGTCTTGGCACTCGAGCTGGCTATGGCACGCACCTTCATTTCCATGTTTTGCTTTGAAATCCAGCTGCCTTATGGGGCAAAGGGGCACTACAAAGCACCCTGGTTGCAGCCCTGCAGTGCTGGCAGCAGCAATGTTATTTTCACCTCCAGGACACGTGCAGCCAGGGTGCAGGCACGGGTGCCCAACCTGGGCCAGCTCATGCTCAGGAGCTGCTCTGTGCTTTTGGAGTAGCATTGTTGACAAAGGTGGAAAAATGACTGCTTGGAATTAGGGCTGCAGGCTCAGTTTTTCTGGCGCTCAAATACTTCTGCTTGTCTCTCTCCCCTCCATAATTAGTTTGCCAAGCTCTAATTTAAAACAATAGCAATCATTCCAAGTGAAGACTGAGAGGCCCCAAAGCTGCAGACTCTGGGGTACAATGGAGGCAATCTCTCTTTTTCCAGGGATTCTGGCTCCTGAGGCTGAAGCCAAGCCCCAGTTCTGAGCAGGGCCACGTGAAGGGCAGAAATTTGTGTTCCACCTTCTGTGGCAGCACAGCCACTGGAGTGGGAAGCACTGCGAGGCGAAGTGGGGGAGCGAGTGGAATTGCCAGGAGCACCATGGGCTGCTGGAAGGGTGTGTCAAGGAGATACAGACACTGATGGGAAGTGTAGGATTGCAGAGACTGGCAACTGTCCCTCTTCACCTGCCTTTTTTCTACGCAACCACCCCCTCTTTCTTTCCCTCCTTTTCTTCACCATTTCTCTTCTTTCGTCTGCCTGCTGTGGTTTGCATCCTGCGGTCAATTCTGAGCTATTTTTGAGGTCTGCGAAAGGGAGTGCAGCAAAGCCAGTTTGTTGGCACCACACTGGTTCCTGTTGCAGGAACTCAGCCCGCCCCTGCACAGTTTCAGGGGTTTGAAAGAGACTGAACAGTATGTAGCCCAATACGGCCAGGAATGGGTGGGGCTCAGGCTGGGACTGTTCATAATTACTATATGAATGAACCAGAAGCTGAGCTGACAGTAACTTTTTGGAAAAACGATGGATTTTGTGAATTTTTAAGTCCCCTCTTGCCTTGCTGCTTGTAGCTCAGTCATGCAGTGGTGCCTCTTGACTAAGAAATAAATGTGTTTGGAGTTGTAGGGAAACTGACTGAGGCAGCGTTTCCAGGGCGTCAGAAACTGGAATGGGAAGAAAGCATTTTTGGAAGTTGTCATTTAATAAGATTAACAATTAAATCATACTGATATTAAAAAAAAATGCTGTGGCCACAGAACAACTTTCACTCAGAAGCTTTGAATTCCTCAAGGCACCTCAGAGAGCAGATTTGCCCTGGAACTGCCCACTTGACATTTCTGGATGTAGTGGGATTCTTTTCTGAGCAAACACTCGAGGGAGGTGGGCATGAAGAGTGTGAAAACCTGGAGCCCATTAGCTACTCTTCCTATGATAACAGGGGTTTAAGCCAGCCAAATGCCTCCACCCAGTCCACCTGGGGATTGTGAGCACTGAGACACTGAGGGCTTGAAGGCAGCTTATTTCTATTTGCTCCCGTGGGGATTAGCATCGGAAAAGGATCAAAACTGAGGCACCTTACTAACACTGCAGTGCCTGGAAGCACCCCTTGTAATGCAGCGTGTCGGTGTGGCCCTGCACACCCACCCACACTGAGGAATTCCTGTCAGTAGGCTCCTGTGGAAGCTCCCCCAGCTATGACTAACCACCCAGACATGTGACACACATGAACCATTCATCCTGGCTACCCCTGTGTGAGAGCCGGCATCTCCACGGGGACATGCCATCCCCAGGGACACCTCTGACAGCCAGGGAGCCAGGACACAGTAATGCAGGAGTGACTGACCTGGGATCCTGTGGAGAAGCACCAAGCTTGGGATGTGGGTGCCTCAGCCCCCAGTGAGACCCTGCTGCTGGGGACAGAGCCCTGGGCTTGCAAAACCGGCCCTTCTGGCCTAGCCAGTGGTCTTTGAGTTTTGCAGTGTGGGAGCGGTGCAGCGCACGCAGGAATTACTGTTTGGTGGTCTGGGGTGGAGCAGAGGTTGTATTTTGAAACAGTTCTGGGAGATTTGCTGATAATAGCCAGCATGTTTTTGGTAAAAGAGCCACCTCAGGGCCTTGCTTATAATGAGACTGGGGAGATTTCCCCAAGCACTAATCCTTCTCTCTATTCATCACCCTCCCAGCCGCAAGGCTCGCACACGGCACTCAGCCTGTGCCCACTTCTGTTTCCTCAGAGCAAGCAAAAGCAGGAGGGAGCCTGCTTCCATAGCCCTGACTGCTCCCATGGGCCTTCACGGGCCCCTAGTCCCCAGCTGGCTGCTGGGACACCCTCCCATGGCATGTTTCCCCTTGCTCAGCCCCGGGTCACTCAGTGCTCCCTTTGCTGAGTGCTGCATGGATGGCAAAGGAGGAGACACCTGATGCTGGGCTGGAATTTGCCCTCAGATGCTTAAGTGCCCTGTAAGGCAGAAATAGCACTAGACCCCTTTGATCTCAACAGGTTTCTGTGCCTGTACTTTTCAACAGGGAAGTGACAGCACTGTCACCCAGCACAACATAAGGCAGGCTGCAAGGCATGGCACTCCTAATTTTTTTTCCTTCCTTCTGTTTTCCAACAAAAAATTAATGAGCTAAAACTAAAAAACGAGATTTATTTACCCTTCCTTCAAGGCAGGGAGCTGCTCTTCTACTCCTCTAAAAGGGAGGGTGAGGAAGGGGATTTCCAATCTTCACATCTGAAGATGGATGTTTAATACTTTATTGGTCTTTTCTGCTGAGGCAAAGCAGCATTCACAGAAAAGGAGGCTCTTCTCCATGGCCCTGCCAGGATTGATAACTAACTCACAGTCATTTCAACAGTGGCAGTGAACAAATGTGCTGAAGCACATCTCAGTTATTCCTGTATTGATCCTCTGTCAGGGCCAGTCCATACCCAGTCATCCCACAGCATGACACAGGGTGAAGCAGCAGTTCCCTGTATAAACTGCCCAGAGGGAAATCTGGAGTGCTTCTTAAGCTGTTTTCTGCCATTACACTGCAGGGAGAGCAGCAAAGCAGCACATCTCGGGGCTGCCATCTGGAATCTGACCCTGCTGGGAGAGTTTTGGAAAGTACCTCTTTAGCTAGAACAGCTTGACAGTGAACAAAGGAAACTCTGGCCAAATTTGCAGCTTCATGCATCCTGCTCCTCCTGAACTGTTTTCAGGAGGGCAGAGAGTATATGGAAGCTGCTCTCTTGGTTAGACCCAATATAGCCCATGCCTTGTCATAGAAGGGAGGGACAGGTTAGGACAGCTCAGCTCCAGAACCCGCATTGCCCAAGGGAGTGACAAGTTTGCCAAGATCATAGTTGAGATCTATCCCCTTTACCCTGTGAAAACAAGTCTGTAGCAGGGGCATGGGGAGACACCCATGAGGAGAGCCCAGGGACAGATCTGGGCTGGGTCATCCCCAGTCCTGCAGGAAATGCACTGAACCCTGAGCCCTGGAGTGGCTGACACAGGTGAACAGTGACTCATGCTGAAGGCTTAGTCCTTGTGATGTGAGGCTACCTGGCAATATGTTTTTGTATTTGAGGAAATCCAGGGTGAGGACCTTTGTTGTCCTTTTGCCCTCGCAGGGCAGAGTCTGCTGAGCAAGGGGGGTTGTGAAAGCAACCTTCACGATTGGGTCCATTTTCCACATTCTTCTCATTCCAGAGAGGTATCTTCCCTGTATTGGCTCCAGCAAGCCTCTGGGAAAGATAGTGAGAGCCTTGGGAGCAGGAGGGGAGCTACAAAATGCTCAGAGCCTGGAGCAGGCTGGTCAGAGGGCTGCTGAAGAGCAGCCCTAGGAATGTGGGCCCCTGCTGAAGGAGAGCTGGGCACATCCCCCGGCTGTGACAGCCTGGGCAGCAGAGCCAGCCTGCCTGTGAGCTGAGAGCTGGCCTCCAGTGCCTGCAGCTGGGCCAGCTGCTGTGCCCTCAGCAGGGGAGCTCCTGATGTCTCCAGAGCCACGTGGAACATGAACCAGCTTAAATCTTACTGATCACAGGTGTGAGGAGCCCTCTGAAAGCCAGATGGGGTATTTTACACCACGACCACCTTTACCCCTGCACAGAGCAGTGACCAGCTCCAGGCTGCACAGCCTCCTCCCATGTCTGCTTTATACACATGCTCCCCCCAGTTCATCTCTTGTGCACTCTGGTTGAAAGAAGGAGCTTTCACACAATTTTGTATTTGAATCCTTCACAGTCTTTTCCAAGATGGCTTGCAGGAGCAAAGGCACCCTGAAAGCAAACTGACCCAAAAGCTCAGAGTCTTTAGATGCCCCAGTCACACTTTCCTCAGCATCTCATGGGCTGTGCTTGCATGTTCAGAGGTTTTGCAGTTTTGAGAGACAGACACACAGTAAGATACAACTTCTTTTTTAGAGTTACCCTCCTTTGGAAAAGAAAAAAAGGAATATCTACACAAGACTGTCTGTGCAAATCACAGGACTGCAGTTTTAATCCAAGAATGCAGCCAAAGGCACAGCTGATGTGGGCTTCGCAGTCCTTCAACCTCTGTCTAAGCGCTGTTGCAAAGAGGAAAAGCAGGAAGTCCTTCCAGAAGTGATCTGTGTACTTTGCTCATACCACTGTGTAACCTGAGCTTCCCTGTCAGAGCTGTCAGAGAGTTTCTCCCAGCTGGGCACTGCCGGTGTGGCACAGGTAGATGACCCGTGCACCCATAAGGAAGCTGTGCACACACACACACAGACAGACAGACACACAGAAAGAGTTCACAGGGATCCCACAGATGCACACTTCCAGTCATGCACACTTCCAGTCACACAGAGCTGCAGATGCACACCCTACACACAACACGTCAATGCCCAGACTGCCAGTCCTCCCACAAATGTTTCTCA